TCACAATTTCTTTTGTAGTGTCGTTTTAGGAAAGAAAAAGTAATGCATCATTGAAAAATAATTTTTCGAGAAAAACAATATTTTAGTGAGACCATAAAAAAATATTTATTTTTGTTTCAGAAAATGAGAATATAGTATAAATAAAATTGTAACCCAATTTTTTGATAATTCAATCTAACTATTCCCTTGAATGTATAAGATTGTAGCACTAATTTTACAACTTTTTAAATGTTGTTTCATAATTGTTTTTGAATGAATCATCGGAAAAATAATTCTTTTCCAAAATGGAACTAATATTTTACAATTCAATATAGGTTTTCTATAATCTATACTACACACAATTTTTTTCAAAAGCCAGATTATGAACTATTTTCGTCAATCCGTGCAATTCGTACTGCGAAATTTGTTTCAAGATATATATTTTTTCCCAAAGGTAGTGGTGGGGAACCAGAAATTACTTTTCTAGTAAATTTTTTTGCAAAATAGTGTTACTCACTGCTAATCTTTTCCCCGAAATGATAGCACAAAACAAATCATCTTATATAAGAGTAAAAAATAGAGAAAGTACTAAAATAGAGCTTCAATTCATATTTTTATCGCCTAAATAAGAGTTCGCACTGTGATAATGTAACACTGTACATGAATATTTTAGATTACTTTTTAGTAAAGTGCATGATCATGATTAACACTGTAAATGCACTTAAACTCCTACTTCATGGAATAAAAACGTGGAATTCTTATTTTGGTATGATATTTTTAATGTTTTGCTTCTACTACAAAATGTCCAAGTTATTATATTTTTAAAAGATTGAAACAAATATGTGGCAAGAGCGTATATTGTTATGTTTATAATAACTAGACTTGTACCCGTGCGATGCACGGACTGTTGATTTACATATAATCAGTAAATGTTTTGAATAAGGAAAAATGTTACGGAGTACAAAAGATTACATAAATTACTAAAATTGCAAAAAAAGGAGTATACACTAATAACTAATGTCGATATGAAGTGTTATAAGTTTTGGATCACTTCTTTATAAACTACATTTGTAGTTTGGTTACAGGATGGAAGGTCTTTATTTTAAATCAAGATCTTTAGCCCTTGGCGACTTGTAACACGTGAAATTACCTCATAAATTAAAGTTGACCATGACTGAATACCAATTTTTTTAGTAACATTCTAACATGCGACAAAGATTGACATTGACTTTTGTTAATTGTCATAACATATGAACTCATGATTGAGAATTGTTTCTTTTGAAACTTAAAAGGAACTTTTGCATCTGACGGTGTAAGCGAAAATCGTGGGGTAACAACTCGTACCCGTGGGTTGCACATATATATAGTTTTTTTATTTTTATTATTCATTTCATAAAATAATATATTTTTGTTATCTCTTGCTCTGTAGAAAATTTTGTTATTAAAGTTTTTATTATTACTCCCTCCGTCCTGGAGTATTCGTCCAGTTTTGACTTTTGGAACTGTTCATCTGAGCACTTTGACTCATCAAATTCTCTCAATGTGTAAGCCTAAATATAGTCATGTGATCTTGTTTGATTTGTCTTAACATATAGAAGTGTATTGGATGGTGTGTAAAAAGGAAAGTGGACAAATACTTTGGGACGGAGGTAGTAAATTTTGCATGTACAGTAAAATAAATTGAATTGGGGAGAAAGACAAATGTAGGACTAAAACATTGAAAATATACCAAAATAGGTCCTGAAATAGGACTTACATTACCAAACATGTATGGTCATGTACATTATCAAAAAAGTGTAGTAATGTGCACATGTACAGTGTCACATTACCACAGTGTAAAGTCCTATTTCAGGGAAAAAAATATGAAAGTCCTATTTTGATACTTTTCTCTATGTTTTAGTCCAATTTAGGGTGATTTTTACTTAACATACGGTGAGATGCCAACGCAACAAAGTATTTTTCTTTACTAAAATAGATTAAATCTTGAAATCAATCACCACTTTAATATTTAATTATTTTTTGAAAAAGCTCTTGTATTATTTCAAAGCATCAATACAAAATATCCAAATTAAAATCCACTCCAGACAACAAGACAGAATTAGACTCCCTACCCATCAAGTGAGCAATCTGATCTGCTAATATTCTACACCAAGCCCAAGAAAAAGCACAAAAAGGTTCTTAAATGGATACAGTCGTTAACGATGTCCATACAATAATACAAACCCCCACTAGCCTCCTGGATAGCTCAAAAGATCATGTCATTTTCCATTTCCACCGTAATATGTTGCTCCCTGATCCATTACTTCAGCCAATTCAATGCCTCCCGAACCCACATGGCTTCTGCCATTTGGGCACTTTAAACGCGTCCCATGCGTTCAGACGCTCTTCGTACAAACTGACCCTGCCCATCACGAACCACCATATACGTACCCATGCCTCATTTGTTAAAAAATTAAAAGCTGGTGCAATTTGCCCCTCATTTTGTTGCTGACACCAATTATCCTCATTAGCAGCCATCCATTCCTCATGCACTTGTATTGCCTTAGCCACGATCGCCAGCACTGGAAGACTCCTTCCCCTCCACACTAGTTGATTCCATTGTGACCATAGTTCCCACAAAACCATCACAATCCTTGCCAGCCCCATATCTCATTGCTTTGCTGAATTTGTTGAAGCCAATCACCGAGAGACTCCTCCAAAAGTGATTCCCCACCATTGAAAAGGCTTACGCATTGTATTACATGAGGACAACAAACCAAACAGTGTAAAGTCGTCTCCGCCCCTATTAAGCATTGTGGGCAAGCCTCCACCAATTTGAGATGCCTCACAAGATTCACTCAAACTGGAAGCACATTATTTAATGCTTGCCATAGAAAATTTTAATCTTCGGTGGCACCTTCACCTTCCAAAGCAAGCTCCAAGCTTTGGGTCTTTGCTGCTTATCTGATCCGTACCGCTGGCACCACAACTAATACCACTGTTTGACAGTGTAAATACCGTAGGGTCTCCCCTCCACATCCAGCTATCCGACCTACTTGTAAAGCTTATCGGTATTCTGCAAATCTCATCAAATTCCTCTTGCATAAATGTAGTTTGTAGCAGGTCCCTATCTCGTGTACATGTAGCCGGGTCTATAAACTTTGCAATTGGCCACCTCCACGCTTCTTCCGAAAGAGTGCTTCATATGTAAGGGTCGTCCCATAGCAACCAAGGTGTTCTTTTGATCGTTGTATTCCTACCACCTCCGATCCTCTTAATACATCCCCGTTTTATCACTTCTTTTCCTTAACCAACGACCGTCAAGTAGAGCTCGAATTGTTTCCAACATGTGCCTTGAGAAAATCTACAGTTAGATAGTACTTTGCCTTAATATTTAATTATTTAAGATAATTAAACCTCAATAAGTAAATATAATATATTTATTTAAAGTATTGGCTAACTACTTGGTCAGATTAGTGGAGCTACTATGTATTGATTTAGTTATGTTACGTTGATGACTAAAATTTGGTGGAACAAATGTACACCATCAACACAAACTATTCATATGATCAGTTGGGATAAGCTTGAGCTATCAAAAATTTTTAGGGGCCTAAATTTCAAGAAAATCTAAGAGTTCAATCTTGAAATAGGTTGTAACATGGCTTAGAAATTTTTCCATCAACTTAAACTTCTTATTTTATCGGTGTTTGAAGTTAAATATTTTCATCAAACCAGTTCTTTTGAGGTGAGAATTAAATCTAGCCTTAGTTGTGTTTAGAAAAGTATTTTTAAGTCCTAAGATGTGGTTCAAGGGAGGACCTGTAGATGGTTGGTGCAGGTGCTAGCTAGTCTTTGCATTTGGGAGGAAACTTGGTTAGGCGATAAGGATTACCCTTGGGTGAGATGACACACAATCCAGGGCAATGTGATAATCATACAGTCTTAGACTTTATCATTAATAGATGCTGGGATAGAAAAAGATTTATGATGTGTTCAAGACCCAAGATCGATAGTTTATTCATGTCATTCCTCTTTCAAGGATGACACATGAGGATTTGGTGATATGGGCCAATAGAAAATCTTAATGTTGTTATGTTTAAAGTGCTTTAAAAGCACTTACATGTGACAAAGGTTTACACAGTGCATGTGATATGGAATAGTCTTTGGTAGGTAAGAATCATCTAGAGGGTGTGTAACTTGAGAATTGAAATGGAGAGTAGCAAACATCCCCCCTTGAATTAGTAAATATTTCATCCATGATGTCTATTCGATTTATCATGCCACAAAATAGTTTATCGTTCATATTTTGAATTACGTGAAAAACATCTAGCATTTAGATTCCATTTTTGAAGTCTAATGGAAAGAATAATTTCTTAAGGATATAGGTTAAGGGGAGTAGTATATTTAGCCAAGTGGAACTAATTTCTTAAAACTTGAATTAACACCCAAGTAGATCATGTCTAGCCTTTATCTAATGGGTGTAGTGTCAAATAATAAATAAAATGTTAATTTATTACAAAACTTTGAATACTTTAAAGAGAGAGATGAATACATGAATTTTTAACATCATCACACAATTTGGTTTACACTTGGGAATACCGCCAATTCAATGCACACAATGGGGTCAAATTTGATGTGGGTTGATATGACCAGTCAACTTAATACAAAAAACATTGAGGGTCGTAAGTTTGATTAAAAAGTGGGAGGTGTATTCAATTATATTGCACAAAGTTGTTTTCAAATAGTAAATTGACCCTACGTGAAAAAGTAGCTAGTAATATTTAAAACAAAGGATATAAGGCTCCAATGGGAGGTGAAGACGAAAACTAAAGTCAAGAATACCTTAGAGGGAATGCTCGTGATACCATATACAATTCGGAAGAGTAGCCAAATCGGAAAGAGAGTAAATACATAGAGCTTATATACATATTTGTAAAATAAAATTATGTTTGAATAATTTTCACTAGTGCATTAGGAAATAATAATACTCATATATATGTAAAACTAAATACATTGAAATAAATAGATAATGTTCCAATTTTTAGATGTATGTGAGATTATTACTTGTAGTTATATACACTTGCCGAATGAGACTTGAAAAATAAATTTTAATACATAAAGTTTTTAAACCTCTTTAACATTTTTTATTAAAAAATTAAATCTTATCGATTTCTTTTTTCATTAAAAAGATGTTAATGTTATTATTGCTTTGGATTATAGATCTAATTTAGAATTTGAGCATAGAGGAGCTCATTCCAGACATCAGGAACTCCAGGAAGGCACCAATGGATACAATCTGCATAAGTTCTTGGCTTTGCGATTTGCTGCTTTGTTAAAAGACCCCATTGTTTCCTATATATTGAAGGGTGTCCGTCTTTCCTATACTCTGATAGCTGAGTTACGTTAATCAGTCCCACATTTAAGCCTCTTTGCTTTAGTTCTTCAATGCTTTGCTCAACCAATTTCATCATTTTGGGATCTGATCCTTTTCCTTGGTATCCTTCCTTCTTTATTAGATCTGTCTCTCCAAAGCAATTCTCTCCAACCTCTTTACCCCATTCTTCTGCCCTACATCATTAAATTTGAAATGGTTTTAGCCTTACCCATCATGAATTACAAGGATAGTTTTATTCTATTTTTTTTACTTCTTTCTCCATTTGAGTACATGTACTCTGTTTTTTATATATCCAACATATGAACATTTATAAGCCACACATTTACATCATTCATATTTATTCTGAGCATTTATTACTCTACATATACTTGGAGCAATATGTTCATTTCATTGTTAAAATTAATTTTTTATTTTGCTGCTAATGACACTTCTAATTCATAAAAAATAAAAATTTCCCCCGTTGTGCTTCCCACCACTCGCTAGGTGATTATCAGAAGATCAAGCCGCAAGAAGGTCAGTCTTGGCCCCATTCGAGAGAAAAGTAACTTGTCGATCAGGAAGCATAAACGCATAACGGGTTTGAAGAAATATGGGTACTGGCTCCTGAAATTGTAGAAACAAGGTATGGGCTTGGAGATCATCTAGTAGGACACTAAGCAATTGAAGGACAAGTTAAAGCTCATACATTGGGGCGTCGACATCCTCCAGCCAATCTGCAATATTCTTGAGATTTTAACAATAAGTAGGCATGGGTGTGGGCCATGTTTGTTATCATGGAACAAATCATGAATAACATGTCAGAGTTCAAAAGCAGTAGAAGCAGACGAGATAATCATATCAGAAACTTCATTAGTAATAATATAGAGAATCAACCCTTGAATAAGAGCATCATGTTGGAACCATTCATCATCATCAACAGTGGAGGGGATGTTGGATTCTGAGAGAAAGCCATGGAGATTGAATCAACGAACAAGGAGCACGAAGAGACGAATCCATTTTTTTTTGAAAATTGGATTGAGAGAAGCTTAACTGGATGGGGACATAAAGCTTGATATTAGAGATGGTTGAGAAGGCAAGGTGAGGGGGATTTGAGGACGAAGTGGAGGAATATTTTTCTGCGGTCGACATGGTAAAAGGTCCACAACGTGACAAAGGGGAGTCCTGCCGCTTGCAGAGGAGGAAAAATCGACGAGATGAAAGTCGGCGTAGGGGGAAAGACAATGGAAGAGGATATTGACGAAGGAGGGAGAGGGGAGGCTAGGGTTAAAAAGGCTCTGGTACCATGAAGAATGATTAATTTCATTGATTCAACAATGAGTAATTACATCAATATATACTAGGATCACCACTCCTAATTATAGTAGGATAATATAAAAAGGAAACATATAAAAAAGGTAACTACCAATAATATCATAACTACATAAAATATATCCAATATATTTAACAATATGTTTTTAACATAAGAATAGGAACGTGATTACCATTGGTGCTTGAGCCAAGGGTTTCTTTGGAAACAGTTTCTCTACTTTTGAGTAGGGCTAAGATCTGCATACACACACCCTGCTCAGACCTCTACCTTTGTGGGATTCAACTGGTTGTTGTATATATTACCATCTTTATTCAATTGAGGCCCAAAATTTCACCAACATGACTCAAAAAATCAAATTAAGCGAATAGAATGTGATGGAGGTAGCTAGTATTATTGATTGCCTTGTGTAGCTTCTAACATAGTCACATTAGGTTGCAATGTTACATATGGATCTACATGTTTGAGGTATTTTTGAATATTAGAAAAAGTTGCGTATATATTTTTAAAATATACATATTGAGGCAAATGTAACATTCTCTTATGTAACATGATTTCTTTGTACACGCTTGTGAAAAGAATATGACCTTACACATATCAAATATTGCAAAAAAAAAAAAATCAAATATTTGAAAATATGATGCTTTTAGGTTGCTAGTAATACCTCTCATGGATGGGGGACATGCTCACAAAAAATACTTGAGTTCTCAAGTGATTGACATGTATTTGAAGCCAATCTGACCATGTTTTCAAGGCCATCTCGTAGCTTCGCAGCATATTTACATCCTTGTATATTCTGTTTATCCCTTCACTAAATGAACCCCACCTATAACTCCCAAATTTTACAAAGAATCAAGAAAGTGTTTCCATTGAATCTATTTGTCTTCGGAAAAAATCAATTGATTCATTCATTTTTAAGGAATAATTACTTACAAGACTTTGATATTGGGTTGCCTCCACCAAAGATATGTATTGAAGACAAGGTAATCAGCATTAGTCCATCGGCGACCATGCTTTTCAATTGCATTGGCTCTCACAATTCGTTCTGGGAGGCGGTGGTGCACTGGATCATCAGAGTTGGATTCCACTAGCAATGGTGACCAGTAAAATTCAATTGTTGCATTGTATTCCTACAATCATAACCCAATAAATTTAGATAAGGGTTGACGACACTCAATATTTAACATATTATTTGCATGATAGTATCCCTTCAAAAGGTGACAATAGGGTTTTGTTTGGGAATAACATTTTCAATTAACATTAGCATTTTTGGATAAATCTTTTATGGTGCAGATAAACATTGAAAAGGCTAAACCTAAATGTTACTTTTAGATAACATTTTCAAAATGTTAATGCTAATCTCTAACTATTGTTGTTCCCAAATGGAACATAGGAAGTATGGTGTAAAAAACATTATCTAGTAAAGTTAGATAATGTAGCTAGAGTGGTTTCCAGATCATGGTAAATTATTAAAACCCATTATTAAAGTAAATAGTCACTTCTCACATTCTTAATATACAACTCCGTATTGTATTCATTGCAAGTTTTTATAGGCTGAACTTTTTGTTAGTCATTTTTGGATGAATTGTTTTTTATGTGTGATAGAATTTAATTCCACCATATATTTATCTCAAGAGATTTAAAGAAAGAATATTGATTAAGAGACAAAAATATAGAACTCAAGAATCAGAACAAAAGAACTTCGATTAATCATGAACCTTTAGGGTATTTATAGCTTCCTAATCCTATTTGACTTCTCTTAGAAAACTTAGTTAAACCTTCTCCCAAGTTACTAATCCTAGGCGCACGACTCCAGCATAATATGTAATCCTCACGGCCCGAGCGGGCTGACCCGCTAATCCACCCATGGGTTACTCTCGGGTATGGGCTCTAGACGTTGGGCCAAATGACTTGATAGACATATCGGGCTAATTACATTATTAATTACACTTTTGCTCATTATATCCATCACCAGCCTCTTAGTTTCTTGTGTGGGCGTGCCCATCAAGAAATTACAATTAATAGCCACAATAATTAACCACAATTTAACCGTCTTTCAAATCATAAACTTGCAAATCACCTCAATCCCATCACCGATCACCAACTACTTCCCTTCATTACCATCGTTCACAATAATCATTACCTCTCTTGGGATGACACGTGCAACCAACCATCATTGCCATCATGAATCCTATCATTGTTAATTCCCTTGTAAACTAGAGAACGTCCTTCAATATAGTTCCAAGATCTTATTTCTCTAAATGTAATCTTGCTCACACTTGTAAACTTATATTTATCAATGGAAACTCTCTTCCTTTTACCATATCTATACACTTAGTAATACTACCTAAGGGGTCAAGTGGTTTTCGAATCCTTTTTTGTTCAAAAGCCTCCTTGACTGTGTTCTGTTCACCTGATATGATCTAATTTTTTGAAGTTCTGATCAAGTCTAATCTGATTGGATTTGATCTGAACTGGTCTAGTTTAATCTGATCTGATTAGATCTCATCTGATATATATTTGATTTAAATTAAAATAAAAATTATTATTCTAATAGTTAAAATAACAGTAATATAATGATAGTAAGAATATTAATAATAGAATAATAATAAAAATCGTAATAGTAATAGTAACAGTAATAGTAATAGTATTAATAGCAAAAATAATAAATGTAATAATAATAGTAATAATAATTACTATAGTAATAATAATTGTAATGATAATAATAATTTTAATAATAATAATAGTTATCATATTAATAAAAATAGTAATAGTAAAAATAAAAATTATAGTAATAATAATTATATTCATAATAATAATAATAATATTATTATTATTATCATTATTAAGATAGTAATAATAATTATAATCATAATAATAATAGTAATAATAATAGTAATAGTAACAGTAATAATAGTAATAATAATAATATAATCATAATCATAATCATAATCATAATAGTAATAATAATTAAAATAATAATAATAGTAATAATAGTAAAAATAATATTATTATTCATATTAATTTTGCTAAAATTTGATATGATTGGATCTGATCTCATTTGATCTGATGTGATTAGATCTGCTCTGGTGTGATCTGATTTAATCTGATTTGGGTAATAAGCAGAAAAAATAAGTTGAAACGAGCGCAACCTTCGCCTCCTTGCTTAGTAAAACTAGCTAAAGGGTCAAGGGGTCGCAGGATCCTTTTGGGTCGCGGAGACCTCTTTGCCTCCATTAGTTTTTGAGTGAAACTAGCTAAGAAGCTAAGGGGTTTCCAGGATCCTTTTTGGTCCCATAGGCCTTCTTACCATCGTTCTTATCAAAAGAAGCTAAGGGGTCAAGGAGTTCTGGGATCCTTTTTGTCTCAGATGCCTCATTCTTAGCAAAAGTAGCAAAGGGGTCAAAGGGTTCTAGGATCCTTTTTGGTCCCAAAGGCCTCCTTGCTTAGTAAAACTAACTAAGGGGTCAAGGGGTTCTGGAATCCTTTTTTGCCCGAAGGCCTCCTTGCTTAACAAAACTAGCTAAGAGGTCCAGAGGTCCCGGGATCCTTTTTAGTTCCAGATGCCTCCTTTCTTAGTGAAACTAGCTAAGTGGTCAACACGCCCCAGAATCCTTTTTGGTACCAAAAGCCTCGTTGCATCCTTTCTCAGTAAAGACTAGCTAAGAGGTCAAGGGGTTCTGAGTTTTGTTGTTGTCTAGGAGGCCTCCTTGCTTAGCAGAACTAGGTAAGGGGTTAAGGAGTCCTGGGATCCTTTTTAGTCTCGAAAGCCTTCGTGCTTAGTCAAACAAGCTAAGGGGTTAAGGGGTTCTGGTCCTTCTTGCTCCCGGAGGCCTCCTCAACTCCACTATTAGGAAAACTAGCTAAGGAACCAAGGAGTTCCGAGATCTTTTTTGGTCTAGGAAGCCTCCTTGCCTCTTTTCTTAGTAAAATTAGCTAAAGGGTCAAGGGGTTCCTGGATCCTTTTTGTTCCTAGAGGCCTCCTTGCCTCCTTACTGAGCAAAACTAACTAATGGGATCAAGGGGTTCTAATATCCTTTTTTTTTGTCTTGGAGGCCTTCTTGCTTAGCAAAACTATCAGAAAGCACGAATATAATAAGAAATCTAACAGGTTGTGGGGTCTTAGGTTGTAACACCTCAAGCCTTTGTACCTCATCGCTGAATTTTATTGAATTGAAGGATAGCGTGATGTTGGGGGTCTCGGGTCTCTCTCCTCGGGCCTCCCTCGCACTTATTACAACTCAAAAATGAAAAAATTACATTGTACTAGTAGAACTTGACCAGGTTCTCAGCATTCCAAGTCCTGTTAATGTCTTTTCCCTTTGGCATCTTCAACTTAAATGTCCTAGGCCCGACCATCACCTTTGTAATATAGGGATCTCATAAGATTATGCAAAACTGACACCTTTCATCCACTGACTTTTCTCCCTTTTCCCATAATACATACCCCACCTGGGCATCAACATAAGGCTGTACTTGTCTCCGATAATTTTCAGCCCAAACAAAGGCCTTGTCTTTTCTCTCTTCCAAGAAATTCAACTAAACTACTTAATTCGTCTCATTGACCTTCCGTTGGTAGTTCTTAAATCTCAAACTCGGGATCATTACCTCCACCAGGGTCCTTTGCCTCAAAATTGTAAGCTAGGCCAAATGAGGTATCTCCTGTTACCTTCTCGCGGTGGTTCGGTAGGGCTAGAGGATCCAAGGGAGCTCAACAGCCCACTATCCTCCGGTGGCCCATAACTTCTTCTTTATCCCTTCATTAATCATCCTTTTTGCATTTCAAACTTGTTTGTCTGCTTGGGGATACGCCACTGAAGCCTTATTATGCTGGATCCCTCAACTATTTAAGAACTTAGTGATTGCGAAAGCCTTAAACTACCTCAGCACAGGATATTGGATCTCACAAAATTTGTTATTTGTTTCTCGGTGATACTAGCCAAATCAACCACCTCAACCCACTTGGTGAAATAATCAATTGCTTCCATAGCCCAAAGTACCCCTCCCTATCCAGAGGGCATAGCCCCTACCAAATCAAGCCCCCGCCTAAAAAAGAGGATTACTATGTTCACTTGGGTACAGTTAGTTGCTGGTCTACTGGCAACATTCTAGAATTGTTGGCAAACCGCGCACTATCGAACTCTCTTCATAGTCCTTCCTGATTGTTGACCAAAAATAACCTTGGTGAAAGGCCCTCCGAGAGACTTTCAGCGCCTCTTGTGGGCCGTAGATATTCTGACGTGAATCTCCTTCATGTTTTTGTCGACTTCTTTCCTCTGACAACACAGAAAGAACCTATTGTATGCCCTTTTGTATAACACATCATCCTGGATGGTGTAACTCTGGGTGTGGATCTTCAAAACTCTGGCTTCTTGGGGGTCTTCTGGTAACTCTCCATCATTAATATATCAGGCCAGGCGATCCAACCATTCTGGCAGATCGGTTGCCACCCATTCCACAAACTCTAGTCCCCTAAGGCTAGAATGACCAAGTTCTTCGATATGTGCCAAGTTGATAATTCTTTATAAGGTCTCTTAACTAAGTATCGGCTAATATTAGCATTTGAGTTATACTCCCGGGGAAATTGTAACACCCCGGCCCCCACCCTAGCCGTAAGTGTCCGCTCATAGGATTGTAGATGAGCCCCACAAACCAACACAAGTCTTTCTCGCGCACTTTGTCCTCACTCGTGCGCGCCCAAGGAAGCTTCCCAGGGGGTCACCCATCCTAGAATTGCTCCAGGTCAAGCACGCTTAATTTTGGAGTTTCTAGGTGATGAGCTCTCTAAAAGAAGATGCACCTTGTTGGTACGAGTAGTACTATCAATCCATTTAAGCTCATCTCATTCTCATCTTAACACAGGGTATTACATTCACCCCCACTTAGGAATGCAAGGTTGCTCTGATGATACCATTTGTAACACCCCGACCCCCACCCTAGCCGTAAGTGTCCGCTCATAGGATTGTAGACTGGCCCCACAAACCAACACAAGTCTTTCCCGCGCACTTTGTCCTCACTCGTGCGTGCCCAAGGAAACTTCCCAGGGGTCACCCATCCTAGAATTGCTCCAGGTCAAGCACGCTTAACTTTGGAGTTTCTAAGTGATGAGCGCTCGAAAAGAAGATGCACCTTGTTGGTATGAGTAGTACTATCAATCCATTTCAGCTCTTCTCATTCTCATCTTAACACGGGGTATTACAGAAATAGGGTAAATTCAAACTCCATTGACTCTAACATTCCCAAGGGGAAGTCTCTGTACTGCTTCATCTTTTCCTCCTTGGCTTCAAACTATTTACTCCTAACCACCAACTTAGAGTCACAAAAGATATGAATACGTTTGGCTCTTATATTGGTGGCGATCCTTACACCACAGAGCAATGCCTCGGAAACCCTCTAAGGTTGAAAACACAACCCTTCCTAGGGATGGCAATCCGACCCGAACCATCTTAACCGATCTGACCGAACACTAAAATATCTGAATCTGAGTCTAGAATAAAATAATCCAAACCCGACCTAAAACTTTTTACCCAAACCCAGCATCGGGTGAAGTCGGGCGTGGGTTTATAATTTTACCCAACTCAAACCTGACCCAATCCGGACCCGACCCGAACCCAAATATTTTATAACCTAAAACCCCTTTCTATAGATATAATGAGCACTCTGTATAATCTCTTCTTTTCAATTCTTTAGCGCAACCGCATCTCTCTGTTGGTCTTTACATCGCATCTATGTGTGTTTTCCATTCTCGCATGGTTCTTCCTTCCTTGCATGCATCTGTGATCTGTCTACTGTTTTGTTCGCATTTCTCACCATGCAATCCTTATTCTGCTTCTTGTCTCAATTTCTAGTGTTTGAAAACACTCGAAGTTTTTTTCTATCCGATATGCGTTCGCCGCATCATAATTACATTAATAGTTACACCTTGGCCCAGTACACCCATCAATGTGAACATTGTTTTTTTGTTAGTATTCTTGTTGGTGTTTTAAACAGAAATATATCCATTTTTTAGTGTGGCATGGATCGGATTGGACGTGATGTTGCTAGTGCGATCCTGACCGTACCGTTCAAGACACTCCATGCTCTAAAAGCGTTTGCTGGGTCGAACAAAACTTATTAGACATAAAAGTTTGTCCATGTTGATATGATGCAACCATTTAATTTAGATAGATATGTGGATGACCGAGTGTGTATAAAGAACTTTTAAATGAATATAATCATTTTAAATTTATAATAAAATTTTATCTACAAATTTATGTAGATAAAATCAATCTAATACTTTTAAATTTTAAAAAAGGGAAAAATGTAAATTATAAAGCAATAGTTTATCTTACCTTAGCCCTGAAAATGATCAAAGAGGCATTGTACTTGTAGTGCATGGATTTGAGGGATGGTGGAATGGCAGAATCAACAAGGCATACCATAGAAACCCACTGTCCTCTGTTCAATGAATCCCCAACAAACACAAGCCTCTTATTCCTGAGTTTCTCAAGCAATTTCATGGCATTGAACCTACCTTAACATTTCATTCATTACCCAAAGCTCAAAACACTATTATACACAAAGAGAGAAAAGGCAATAGGGGTAACATATTTGAACATACAAATAAATCAAACTATTTAAAAAATGATGACTTAATTGATAAACTAAACCTTGGAAGATGACATTGGTTGGGTTGCCACCGCCAACGTTGATAGTCAAAATCTTTTCTTCCAAACTTCTGGCACGCCAACTGATCCGACATGAAGGTGCATTCGTGTTCCTTGTACAAAGGGTAGCGCGACGTGTTGTCGTATACCCATTTTCCCGAGTACAAATCACAACTTGACGGCGGCGGCGTGTCTTCCGCCGCCACACTCTCCGGCGGGCTGCCGCTGAAAAAGACAGTTTTTGCCTCCCCAGAGAGATGAACAACTCCGAGGACAACGGCCGTGGCGATGACGAGGGAGCAGAAGGAGCTCTTGACGTCCCATAGTGCAGCCCCACAAGGGCTTCTTGTAGGAATGAGTGGCGATGTTGATAGTAATTCGTATGTTTTAGCCATGTAGCTTCACAATTCCTAATAGGGAGTATTATATTGTTGTTGCATGTAGTATTATTATATACTAGTAGTAGTATATGAATGTTGACATATACATTGTTCAAAAAAAATATGAATGTTGACATATATGTACATACCCCTCTTTCAAAAAACAGTTTTATTTTCATTTTTTGTGCAATCCACAAAACATATTTATCCCACCTAAAATGTCTAAAAGTACATCATTGGTATCAAATGTCACAGAGGACGACGCTCTTGAATTCGGTAATTGTATATGTATCATATTCCACTGATAGATAAAAATTGTCCGTGAAATTCTTTTTTGATGTCAAAGTAGTGTACATCGAATTTAATTGAAGCTAAAGATAAGCTCCATCTCCGAAGGTGTCTCGAACCCGATCAGGCGATCACCGGAAAAATGTAAATTAAATTTTGATTGTAGATTGATAACAATGAGGTAGAGACCTTATGCAGTTATGCTCTTAATTAAAGTGAAGAATAGTCTTATTGTAGTTGGTTGGTTAATGAGTGAAAGCTGCAGGGCCAACCGTACTTGATGATGCTTCCAGCCTTCATATTGATCATTACTTATTCTTAAAGTTTACTCCAAGTATAAACCACAACTTGGGTGAGACCATGACCATTTATACAAAAAAAAAAGATACATACTCCATCTCCGAGAGATCCTCTTAGACTGTATATCTGAGAGAGAGTAAATGAAGCTCTGATTTCAAGTGAACAATAAGAAATGAAATTTGTCCCTAGTCCGAGTAAATAATTTTTGTGGAGAGCATAAATCATCTCACACTTGCTTTCACTAGAAGTCAAACTCGGTCATTACGTCTCTTCACACCCCCTATTGACCATTTGACCAATGCACCAAAGCAAGTAGGTAAGACCATTTCAAGATGAGAGACTAGTTAGCTATATTAAATTGTACTTTCTCATGCCCAAAAAAATCTATGCATTTTCAAGTAATATTTGAACAAATTAGAGGCAATATTTTTTTTATCAAAACAAACTTTTTAAGGTATTAAATTAATGGGGCAACTTATTGAGCAAATTCGGCAATTTTAATGATCACTCCAAACTAGGCAAACGATTCCTTTTGAGAGACCTTTCGTTGTTTTGTCAAATCATTTTTTTTATTTTTATCAAACTAAATTTCACCTCTTTTTGTTTCATACCTTAGATTGTTAATTAATAAAGGCGTTCATGAATCGACTCAGATTCGATTCAATAAAGCTTGATCAAATGATCAAGTTCCTTTGTTTATACGTATGAGTCTAAAAATGAAGCTCAAGTTCAACTCAATTTCCAAAAAGGCAAACCTTCACCAAATCTCGAGCGTGTCCAATAAAATTTTGCAATCTCGAAAACATATACAAAGTAGAGCTATCAAATCGATCGGCCAGTTCGATCTCGATCACTTGGGTTCAAGTTACTTCAAGTTCGGGTTGAAAACTACATATTCATGACCCAGTGACATGAGATTTGAGTCGACTCAACGGATTATAACCTTTATTTATTTTTTAAATTTTTACGCAATTCTTATAACCCAGTGTCAGTATTACAAATAATATATATATATATATATATATATATATATATATATATATATATATATGGAAATATTTTGAAAAAAAACAATAAGATAATTATGCGATATCATTAAAATTTTGTATGAATATATAAATTTTTATATAAAAAACGAGTAGTAAGAAAATAAATATAATTATAATCTTACTTTTATAGCATTATATTTCATACAAAGTATTAAAGTATGGAGTATATGATTTTGAAAAGTTCTTTCATTAGTGGGTCGATCAGGTAAGGTTCGATTGAGTTTGACCCATTTTTAGCGAGTCATTTCGAATTCGGTCAACAAAATCTTTGTTCAAAACCCTGCTTTTTCGGGTGAGGTCCCGAATCAAAAACAGTTTTTTTCCAAGTCAAATACTGAGTAATACATATGGTTGACCCAATACGTTAAAGAGTGGGATTTTTGGTACAATTGGCCCATGTGTTATCCAGATTAAGCACACCATATATAATTACATATGTTAATGACATGAGCACTGGCTATAGTTCCAACGGTATAGACCCGCGCAAAAAATGAATTAACACTATCAAATACTCTTCCACTTTTGACTTTTTTTTTGTCAAAATTGGAAACTTTGACTCCAAATTAAATAAAAATGATATAAGATATTGATACAAAACTAGTTTTATTAAATTTATTATATAAAATGTTTTCAAAATATTATTTTATCTAACTAATATACAATATATATTTTATTTAATTATAGGTCAAAAATTAAAAACGGTTGACTGAAAAAAGTCAAAACTGGACAAATATTCTAGGACGGATGTAGTATATAAAAGGGGATTCCCCATTCATTTAAAAACAGTCTGTTTACTCTTCATTTCCCTTCTCCATTCACTACCCATAAATAGCATTTCCATACATTAATACCAGGGCAAAAAAGGTATCATCTTTCTTCTTTTACAAATTTGGATTTGATAGAATGGTAATGGGCTACATAACATGAAGAAGAAACATGCCCTAAATAGTAAAATGAAAAGACCAAAGTTTCACCAAATCTTTTATGAGTTACTAGTTGTCATTGCAACCTACGAGAAGGCCAGAAAAGAACACATACCTTCTCACGAACCATTGATTCAATAAAGAAAGCTCACAATTCGCTACAAGTGCAATTGTTTATAATGCATAGAGACTAATCAGTACAGCTTGCATTTCCCTGTTCCAACACAGGCTGCACATTCATCAGCATCTCCTGCTACATGGCTTAAGCAGTGTTTAATTCTATCATTAACAACATCCTGCACAAATAAATGGATAAGTGAAGAAATAAAGAAATAGAGGGAGGGCCATCACTAGGGTAAAACAAAGTTAACATGATTATGGAAATAAATCTCATGGTGCATACCACAAGTAGCTCATGCAACCCAAGAGGTGCAGTTATAATATATGACACGCCCGGGTGCTCCTTAGCCGCTTCAGCAGTCAAAGATGGAATGTCCTGTCAAATAACATGTGAAGAAAAGTCATTTCTTAGCGACAAAATCAATACCTCATCTGTCCCTAAATAAACTTCACACTTTTCTCTTGTCTGTCTCATACGAGTAATAAACTTCACATCATTTCCTTTCAAGGAAAGGATGTGGCTTACAATATTTCTCTTTCTTTCAAATAAATTATAACCACACACCTTTTACTTTTCAATATTTTCCAATACTTTCCGTAAACTCTGTGAGGTCACACTGCGCAATTTATTATGAGACATATGGAGTAGTTAAGTTTTAAAAGAGGATGGATTAAAGCTGGTTGAGCAGTTACACCTGGTGCCAATGTCGACCGGGGAAGAGAAAGAATGGGCTTACAATCACCCGGTTTGCCCCTTGTTGAACACACAAACGAAATGCATCTTTTATTGAGGGTTCTGCCAACTCCTGGTTATGTTAACACATTGAGAAGAAAAACAACAAATGTGTCATTGGTTTCAATGAGTCTACTACTTTATAATTCCAACAGGTTTTTCTTGATTCAAACATATATTGCTTGCTTTGGTCATGGAAAAATGTAAGAAAAGGTAAACAAAAATGCAATGTAAAGTCTTATTGACTATGTTATAGCTTTGGGCAGATAATGGTCTAAATCAAATGGCACATTAAACTGCTTTTGTTTCTTACCTTTTATGAAGTTTGAGTAGTAAATGCATTAATGCACAACTGGTCTAAGTGTCTTACAAAAATAGCCTCTCTATTTTTTACACCTACAAGCATAAGGTTCGGTATACCTTAACCACCAAACCCCAACTATGTTGGGAGTATAATTGGTGTTGTTCCATGGTTAGTTGAAAAAAATTTATTTGCACAAATATTAGTAAAAATTAATGAGTTTCCTTTAGTTTATCTTCCCTTTCAAATGTCTCCTATATTTCCTCCATATTTTGGACTTAGAAGAGAGAGGAGAGCAGAGATTGTTTTTAAAGCGAGAGAGGAAGGAGTGAGATCTATACCATACAAAGTGCGTGAAAGGTAGGGATGGCAGGATTTTGATGGATGCGGCAGAGGTTAGAAGCGGATGGCGCTCTTACTTTCATAGCCTTCTGAATGTTCAAGGAGATGAGAGTCTCCTCTTGAGGGAGCTAGGGGCAGTCAGGGAGTCATCAAGATTTCAGGTACTATTGGAACATTAGAGAAGAGGAGGCAGTGAAAGCCATTAGCACAATGATATTGGGGGGGGCTTTGGGACTAGACGAGATCTGGGTGGACTTTCGGATTATAATGAGTAAAGGTAGATTTTTGAGAATCACTAAGTTGTTTGATGTTATTTTAAAGACAGTAAGATGCTTGGAGAATGGAGGGAGAGAGTGATGATCCTGACATCCTGTTGTATAAAGGCAAGGGCAATATCCAAAATAGCAACAATTATAGTCATCAAATTATTGAGTCACACCACGAGGATCTAGGAATGAAAATTAGAGACAAGGTTGAGAAAAGAGGTGAAAATTTCTCAAAATCAATTTGGATTCATGCTTGGTCAGCCAGTGCCTAAGAGAGACAACTTTCGATATCTTGGTACGGTCATCCAGGTTGATGGGTGGTTAGACGGGGATGTTGCACACTGTATTAGAGCAGCTTGGGCTCTAAGTGGAGGTTGGCCTCAGAGATTCTATGCGACAAGAAAATTTTAGCTAAGATGAAAGGGATGTTCTATTGGTCCGTAGTCAGACCAGCTATGTTGTATGGTGCGGAGTGTTGGACGGTTAAGAAGACTCGTGTTTGTCAACTGCATGCTGCAGGGATGCGAATGCTGCGGTGGATGAGTGGACAAACGAGATTGGATAGGATTAGGAACAAGGTTATCCGAGGACCAGAGGGAGTGGCACCTGTTGAGGATAAGTTATGGGAAGCTAGGTTGATGTTGTTTGGGCATGTAGGCAGCGAAGTGTTGAGGTCCCGGTGCGGAGATATGAGATGCTTACGCTGGTGGGAGAGTAGGGGAAGGGGTAAACCCAGGAAAAATTCAAAGGATGTGATTACACAAGACTTAAGACTTCTGGCCTTACCAAGGATATAACCTTAGGTAGTCAGGTAGGCTTTTGGGCCTTGTCATTCTGACATTCTGTGCTTTCTTTGCTTGGGCCTTGGTACTTTATGCTTGTTTCTTTTTTCCTTTATTAACCTTAGTTTGCTCTTTGCTACTTTTTCCGTGCTTTGTGCTTTCGATGCTCACTATGTTGCTTGTGCTGCTCGAGTTAGGGGTCTCTTGATCTCTACTTTCGACTAGTGGTAAGATCTGCGTACACACACCATACCCTACCCTCTACCCTTGTGGGATCGACGGAGGCCATTCACCTCTTAATGAGGCTAAAGGGGCATTATAGGGATAAAAAGATGGGCCTACACATAGTGTTTATTGAGTTGAAAAAAGCGTATGACAGAGTCTGTGTGGAAATCTTATGGAGGTACTTAGATTATATAGGGGCATCAATAGCTTACATCCATGTAGTTAAAGACATATCATAGGGCAAGAACCAAGTTGCGGTCGATAAGAGGCGACTAAGAACACTTAGTGTGATACCTTTGTGCATGCTTTTTGCAGATGACATAGTTCTAGTTGGAGGTGTGGAGACAGATCTTGGAATCCGAAGGTTTCATATTGAGCACAACTAAGACTGAGCACGTGAAATGTTGTGTAAGCGGTTATAGGCATCTAATATCTAAAAGGGACAAGTTTCGGTACCTTGAATCCATCATTCACACCGATGGGGATGTTCATTGTATTGGAGCAATTTAGAAGCAGTGGAAGTTTGGTATCCTAAGCGACAAAAGGATATCAATTATCAAAGAAACTGAAAGAAACGTTTTACTATGAAGTGGTTGGACACTTGGAATAGCTATATTGCACGGAAAAAAGTGGTAGATAGTGAAAAACGCTCACGTTCGGAAGCTTCAAGTGGCAAAGATGAGGATGTTGAGATGAATGTGTGGTCATATGAGGATGGATAAGGTCCGAATGGGAGGTGGGGGTGGTGTTGGTAAAGGATAAGCTACGGGTAGGCGAGGGTAGGCATGGGAGGGGGCAAAGCGAGGTGATTAGACATAATTATAGATAAAAGGGTCTCACGGTCTAAGAATAAGGTGTTACACCGTATGCTTTTTGGTAGTGTTCTTCCAATGAGTAGGACTTGATGTCTTAGTTCATTGTATCTACGTGTGTGCTTTCTTTTTGTGCACCTATCCTTTGTCATTCTTATTTTATACTTCTTTTTCCTTTGTTCCTTTTCTTTTGAGTAGTGGGTGTCTTAGAAACAAACTCTTTACGTCCAACTTAGTGGAATTTTACTAGATTTTTTGTTGTATTTCCTCTCTATTTCCTTTCATTATCATTTTATGAGTTCCAAACGGGCCCATTATGTATGTATGTTAAAAGTTTGTATTGATTCCCAAATGTTTTAAAATGAACTTATATTGCCCATACATTGTATGTAGAACATTTTGTATTCCTAACAACATTTTTCCATCTATCTCTAAAAAAAGCTAAATAATTTCAATATTGAGATAACAAAGTAAAACCATTATATAAGAAAAACAAAAATTTTGTATTAAAAGATGATGCCACTACTGAGGACTAAAACTTTTGTACATTACCACAATTACAAAACTTCAATTGATCCATAAATGCTACGAGTCAATTAGAAAAGTATTCTAGGTCTTAGTCATGATATAATTGACCATAGACATGATAAAATGGGATGAATTCAATAGGAATAAAAACCAAGATGAGGTTAAGTTTAAAATAAAGAAAAACTAAAGCATGAATGTTCCTAAAAATTAAACGACTCCAACAACATAAATGAGCTTCCATGCAAACCTGTCTCAACCTTAACACATACTCCCTCACTCTCAGTATAAAGTTCACACTAAGTTTTTCAAACTCATTAAGAAAAAAAAGTATTCATTGGATAAATAAAAATTAAACTAGAAACCTAATACATGGATTATGCAAAGAAAGGAGAAGTAGAAAAAATTACCATATGAGCCGGCTCAACAATAGGGTACCCAGTTTTATCTCTAAATAAAGTAACAAAATCATCTGCAATCCATTAAAATTCACAACGCCCTGCATTAGCTCCTTCATTCACAGAACATTCAAACCAAAACCCCAGAAGTCCACAACAACTAAAAAACAACTGATATAACAAATGGGAGGCTTACTTAGCATTAGATTTGATTCCTTGCGACGAGATCCATGATCAACAATGATCACTGCATCTTTCTCTCCAACAATCCCAAGTGTGTTCATTAGAAATTCACTATTTGAAGTGCTGAAACACAACCTTGAAGATAAATACTTGCTTTTCCAATGACTTGTATCAAATTTTGAGAAACTAAACTGCACACGTTTACAATTTACTCCAGTTTCACTTGCTGGGCATCTGTAACCCAGCAGTTTAACATAGATATTTGAAGAAGGAAGGGCCAGAGAGCAAGAGTTCAATAACATGTTTTTCCTACGCGTAATACTAATAGCCCTCTGGGGATAAAGAGAAAAGTGTTACACTACTAATATAAGACTCGTTTCAGAATGAAACTGAGCCTTGTAAATATATTAAACGAATAAATAAACAAATAAAAAACAAAACTTTGCAAAACTCACGATTGGCTTTCTTAGCTTATTGAACTCTAAGTATTGAAATGAAACAAATTAAAATTGAAGTCACTCCTATGAACTCATCATGGCAAATCATCCACTCTATCTTCGTCTTCATGCCCTGGGCTTTTTATATGCACATGCAAACGAAACAATTGAAAGCATTTATATTAGTAAGTCACTAGTAATCCACAAAAACATTTAGGAATTCCATGGTAAATGAATACATAAACATGGGGTAGAAGCCTTATCATACTAACGAAGTTAAATCATAAAAGAGTTTATGTTCAGATATGAATCACCAAACAAAGTATGTTGTTAAATTTTAACTGAGGGACTGTGATAGCTTAGTGGAACAACTCACTAAAAATAGTGTAGTCTTGACCCATGTTCAAAATGGCGTAAGACGGGTTTGAGGCATTTTTTATTTACTGCATGAAACGTAAGCCTCAGGGCGTAAGATTTGGGTTGCACGCAAAACTATCAGTAAAAAATTGAGAAATAATATATAACACCAAAACTAGCTAGTGTAAAATAATTGAAAATCACAATGGGGTAAATATACTGTAACAAATACACAAACAATTAGGGTGGATATGAGCATATCAAACCACTTAGATAACTATATGAATAAACAAATAATGACTATCAAATAAATCAATAAATAGTGAATATAACTTAATAAATAAACAATTATACACAAAAATAAATTAATAAACACACAAGTATTATCAACAACAACAACCTAGTTGTTTCCAAAGAGACCCCGTCTCAATCACCACAGGTAATCACGTACGCAGCCTATACCTATGTAAAAAGCATAAAGCGGCTGTTTCCGAAGACCCATGATGGGCGTCGAAAGTTGCATCGACTAATTGCTACTTCACTATTAAAAGAAGCGTAGACAATTTAAAGAGTCATTTTGCTTCATTCAAATCACAATTAGCATTGAAATTTTTAACATTATGTATATCTTCATTCACCCAAAATAACTATATATTTTTATATGACAAAATATTATTACCTAAACAAAATTATGTTTAAAGGTAGCACATAAAATTGCATAATGAAGGATACATTAGAATATCCTTCAATCATTAGAGCTGGCTTTTCGTTTGGGGTCTTTGGATGGACCGTCATAGTCACAAACATTATTATCTCCCATTTGTTTTGAAATAAATATAAAATTATTTCATAAGAGATAATAAATATCAAATTAACTTCCTAACTCAAAATACTAAAAAAACAAAAAAACAAATGTTAACTGAAATTAGCAAAAAAATGTTAATTGAAATCAGCAAAAAAATTAAAATTAAAAAAAACTGAAGAAAATTAAAAAATAAAGACTATAATATACTTTTATTACTTTAATAGTTTAATGAACCAAATTTTAAAAAAATTAAACTAAATTACGAGATTAAGTGATAAAGAATTAAAAATATAAAATATTACCCGATAGAGAGAGATAGAGGCTATGCGACTGATATTCTGCGATGCTCTGATGCGACGCGACAGAGAGAGATAGAGGCGATGAAGAGGAAGATGAAAGTTGATTGCCGATCGGCTAGAAACCTTAATCGATGCGAATAGGAAGCTTGAAGTCGGCTAATTGTGATTTACCAGCGATTGAATTTGCTAAAATTTGTAATTTTTATTAATAAAACATATGTCATTTTCAAATATAGTACTAATAATTTTTTTATTTTTCAAATACTACTTACATATAATGTCCAGCAGGAGAAATGTACAGTGATGTTGTACATTTAGTTTGAACAATATCTAGTGGCAGTGGACATTTATTTGAACAATGACTAGTGGTACTACATTGATAAATAAAAACATATAGTGCTACATTGGGAAAGTCATTATATTTTATTACTTTTTAAGTAAATTTGCCTTGAATTTGGAAATGTCAATATAAAATTTGCCTTGAATTTGGGAAATTAATTTCCTAAATAACTTCCCAATCCATTTTGGTGGTCAAACATTTTGACTGTATATTACCGAATAATATATTGAATTTTCATATAAATTTAATGCCAATAAATTCATCTTAAAAGATAGTTTTAAAAAATATTATATTTATAATATACTATTATTTATAAATAGATATATTAATGGTCCAAATGTTGCATTAGATACCGTGAAAAGTCAAATGTCAAGCTAATTTTAAGACAAATAGAGTAATATTTAGAGCTGGCAAATCGGTTGGTCAGTTCGGGTTCAGTCACTTCTAGCTCGGGTTATTTCGTGCCCGTGTCAATTCGGGTTCGGGTTGAGAACTATATATTCATGACCCAGTGTCATCGGGTTCGGGTCGATCCAACGGGTTATGACTTTGGTTTTTTAAATTTTTAAATTTAGATTAACACTTACATTTTCAATTAAATAAATTTAAAATCTAAAAAAATGTATTAAATCTATAAAATTATTTTATTTTAAACTCTGAAGTAATTTTTAGATATATAAATCAATATAAGGAATTTTAAAATGCTTAAGTTTTGGAAAAAGTAAGATAATTATGTAATATCATTAAATATAAATTTATACACTAAAAACGAGTAGTAAAGTGTATGATTTTGAAAAATTCTTACTTTGGCGGGTCGGTCAGATTGAGTTCGGGTTCAGTCAGGTTTGACCCATTTTTAGCGGGTCATTTCGGGTTCGGTCATCAAAATCTTTGTTCAAAACCCATCTTTCAGGTCGGGTTTCGGGTCAAAAACAAGTCGGGTCATTTTTTGTCATGTCTAGTAATATTTAAGGAAATTTGGGTCTTATCCAGTCAAATTGCATCTTCTTCTCCTACTAGTCGCCGCTGAAACACGACTAGGCGAGGCCATAGTAGCCCGAACCATTTGGCTACCCTAGTTTCTAGGTACCAAGTTTTTCTCTTCCCCTGTTCCCCATAATGCCTCGACGAGTAGTTGGCGACTAATCGTCACCTAGACGCCGATTTGACAACACTGATTCCATCATACCCCAAAGCCAAAATACACAAGTACTATTTCTCAAATAAATAAACATCTACTGACAATAACTTACTCCTTAATAAATTACTAGGGAGTAAAAAACTACAGAATATCATACTTTTACCATATTACCCCTCTAAACAATACGTCGTAAATAATTAAATGGACATCATGAAAATGGAAGATTGCACCTTGAAACGATGAATCAATGAGCGGTGTAGACAAAAGTGCAAGTCGAATTTAACTCATGTTGTTGTTAGTAGAGCTACTACATTGGGAGAAGAGGCTAGAACTACAAGGCGCAAGTCGCTTTGCTGATACATATACTGTAATTTGTATTATGCAGAAATAAGTTCAAAAATCCTAAATTGTACCCCTTTGCAAAATTAAAAGAAAAATTGAAAGAAAAAAAGCAATTACTCCCATTTGTCAATTTCCTCAATTGTTTCTACGTATATACTACATAGTACGTACGTAGACTATGTATTTCTCTTCTTCAATCTCAAAAACATCTAGACTAAACATTGATTTGAATGTAAATCCTCCAAATAGTTGTTTTAAAGAACTATTTGACCCCAATATAAATTCTTAGAACAACTTCAATGGATCATGGAAAATTCACTAAAGTGTAAAAAAAGGAAGCGATATATTCCCTCCGTCCCTGAGTGTTTGCCCACTTTCATTTTTGCACACCATCCAATGCACTTCTTTAATCCATTTTATCTTGTAATTTGTATATTAAAAAATTATAAAAATTATATATTAATAATCTATATGTTAAGACGAATCAAACAAGATCACACATGACTATTTTTAGGCTTACACATTGAGAGAATTTGATGAGTCAAAGTGCTTAGATGAACAGTTCCAAAAGTTAAAAGTGGACAAACACTCAGGGACGGACCAAGCAGTTGTTATTGTTCATTAGTTCGGCCTCCAACGGACAAGGCAAAAAATACATCGCAATCTATTTTGGGTTTATCATCGGTTATATATACAAGGTACTGTAGATAGTGTAAACTCAAAAAAATTCCACGTTTCTTTTCTCCATTTTTCATCACTGTTCTTCTCTCTTCCTTCTTCGCGTTGAACGCAGAACCTCACAGACAACAAGTGCATCTCTTTCTCCCTCGTCTTTCATCTCCAGGTAGGCATCCTTGCTTCTCCTTCCACAAAAGTTTTCCTCAAAACTTTATTGCAGATATCAATTTCCAGATTCATTTATCACATTCTCCATAATTTTATGATCTGAAGTGCATGATTTGATTAAGAAATTTGTGGGCATCTAATGGTTATGATGTGTTTCTCTTCAAAAAATAAAATAAAGCAAAAATTATTTGTATTCTAAAAAAAATATTAAATTTTTTCTAAAATTTGTTATTCGACAAAAGAATTTAAAGCAAAAACCTTGACCAGGTGTTTCACTACCCATGTTTTTATTGCAACCCAATTTGAAATTTGTAATTACTTTAAAGAAAAAGTATTGAGTAATGAATAATAATAAAAGTGTATAATATAGATGTAATGGTTGGAGTAGAGATAGAAGCTAATAAAATACTATTGAAGAGCTAAAATGCCAAATAGGTTTTAATTTTTTACACTTTCCCTTGGAGTTGCTCTTAACAAGAAGAAGAGCCCCAAGTATTTTTGAAATTTAAGCCTCTGTCTTGAAGAAAAGTAGGGGTGTTTACTCCTAAGACCCTAACCATATTGAAGCAAAAATTTTGGCAAACAAGAATACTAATGAATTTGTTTGGTTTGGTAAAAATAAAAAAAAAACACTTTAGTAAATAATTTTACCAAAAGAAACTAAACATAACCAGTGAAATTGTTGGGCAAAAAAATGGTTCGATTCAAATAATTATACTCCATGAGCAGCAAGAATCATCACAAAAAACCACAATGAACATATGAACACTTAGACTCTATTTGGTACACAGAATTCAGATTATGAAATTAGAATTGAGAACAACCATTCCAATTCTGCTATTTGGTAGCACAAAAATATGTTGATTCGGAATTGGTAGTACAAAAAATGAATTGGAATTGGAGAATTCGATTCCATCCCATTCAATTCAATAGAATTTCAACTTCTAATTTCAATTCTAATTCTATCAATTCCGTGTACAAAATGGACCCTTACAAAATTGAAATTAAATTAGAATTGAAATTATATGAAATTGATTTGGATAGAATTGAATTATAATTCAATTCTAAACCCTTTGATTGGTATAATTAAGGGACTGATATATAATTATATTGTAGTTCAAAATCCTTTATTTGGTAACACAAAATTATAAATAAACTTGATATATAATCGTACCTGTACGTACGTTTTACTTGGCACTACATGGCGTGAACTCTAATACCTAATACTTGTGTCAGTCCTAGAATTCTCTAGGTAGACTTGCCTCAGTTCGTAATGTTGGATCAAAACCAAGTAAGTGAAGTAACTTATATTCCACATGCTTGTAGCTTGCTACCGATTGGCGATAGTGAACTACCTACCGTGTCTTTCGTATGAGGGGCTGGCGTTAGGCCTCGGTTTGGTCCTCCACTCACTTTGTGGTGACGATGATATCTTAATAAAACTTGGTAAGGGTTGCCTAGACCTTATCCCACCGAGCTTGGTGGTTTGCCCACTGGGAGTAAAAAAAAACTACCTACCTTCGTGATGTTCATCTGATGCGACTGCACCAGTCGGAAATCCTGTCTTTTTAGCCAATGCCATACATAAGTATCATATAAACAATAAATCGATCAAATAACGCTTAATCCTGCGTTCTACCCGCTAATTTCTTCATAAACCATAAAATCCATAAATTAAACCGATCATATAAGTTTTCGTGCAATTCAATTAACACAACGACTACGAACGTAGATTTCAAACATATATAAATACTCTAATATTAGTGTTCCATGTACTAACCTTGAAACGACGAGGATTAAATTATGACAAACAAAGACTCGCCAGAGACGGTTAGCATGGCAAGGAGGGCGGCGGCAGGCTAGACTTCCTTCCTCTTCTTCTTCTCCTTCTCCTTCTTCATGTGGTTCTTTTACTGCGGTTCACGATCATAAAAAAGGGCAAGGGGTTGAGGTCGTGCGGCGTGGATAGTTAAGCACAATAACCTAGGGATTCGTGCTTTGTATTAAATAACACACCTCTGGAAAAATATACTTTTCGGGCCAACTTACTTCGAATTCAGATCTGTTTGCACCGTTGGATTCGTCTCGTCGAACCTTACATGCACAACATTATAACTTTTATAACTTAGTGATAAATATTTCTAATTACCCCATGTTCCGTGTCAATATATAATCAATTATTTTCAATTAATTAATTAATTAATTCTTATAGGATGTGTTTCGTGGCGCTACAAGAAATGTTTAGTTTTTCGGTATTGGTATGATGGTATCAACCTGATACGGACTACGTATCGGGATAGGGAAGACTCAGAGCGTCTTCGAGCTCTTGAGAATATGGGACGAGGAAGAAGAAGAAGAATTGAGGCGAAGGAGAGAATCGGCGAACCGAGGGAGGAAGGGAATTAGGGTTTGAGTTGTTTATTGATTGAATATTCTAAAGGGGTTACATCTCTATATATAGGGAATAGGGAAACCCTAACGCTAACCTAACGGT